TTTTTTTTTTTTTTTTTTTTTTTTTAATAGTAATATATATGTATATGTCATATATATATTTTTTTTTAATTAACCATTTTTTTTATTTTCATTTGTTAAAAATTATTTTAATTTTTTTTAAGAATATTTATAATTACAATTTTTTTTTCTACAAATTTTCAAAAAATTTTAAGAAAAAATGAAAATTAAAAAAAAAAACAGAAAAAAAAGGGATATTGCATCTTAATTTTTTAAAAAGAAAAATACATAAAATTATTTTATGTAGTAAAGAAAAATTTTTATTTTTTTTTTTTTTTAGTTACTCTTTTTATAATAAAATAAATATACATATATATATATATACAAATATATATATTTATTTATTTATTTATTAATTTATTAATTTATTAATTTATTAATTTTCTAATTTTTGGGATATTTATTAAAAAAAAAAACAAAAAGAACAAATAAAAGTTTTTCTGTAAAAAGAATAATGTTTAAAAATTAAAAGAAAAATAAAAAAGGGGAAAATTAAAAATAAAGAAAAATGTTTTTCTATTTAAACAAAGACAAAATATTTAATTCATATAAATATAATACCATAATAAGAATCATATTTTTTTTTTAAAATGTAAATGGTATTTTTTTTTTATTATATTTTATAAAATTTAGAACATTCTGATCTTCTAAAGATCTATTCCATGTATATTGATGTTCTCTTTCATTTATATATTTTGTTCTTGTATTTTTTTTGACATCAATATTCATTATTTTGTGTTCATTTATTTTTTTATTATTTGTTTTTAAAATATGAACTAAATGCAAATCTAAAATATTTAAAATATTCATATACTTTAAGCATAATATTCTTAAATTAAAACAACTATAATTATTATCATTTTCATCTATATTTGCATTAGAATATATGTTTAGTAATGAAACTTTGCATGTATCAGATAAACATTCTTCAAAATATTTTAAATGAAAAAAAATCCTTGCTCTCCATATTAGAAATTGTTCTAAAAATTGATACATACGATTATTCAAACAAAATTTTATACATTCATTTAATTTTATCATAATGAATTTTATATTAACAAGTGGGTGAATCAAAAGATCATTCATTTTATCTACTTTTTTATTTATCTCTTCTTCATTTATTATAAAAGATAAATAATTTTTTTCATAATCTAAAATATCTTTCATTCTAATTTTGTTATTATCCTCATAAATAAAAAAATAATTTTTTTCTATTTGTTCATTATCTTTTTTTCTTCCTTCATTTATTATTTTCTCATTTAATATATCTTCAATTTCATTTTCATCAATTAGCATTATATTCAACTTATTATTATTATAATCATTTTTTTTATATGGAACTAAATTTATAACTTTTATATTATCTTCATTTCTAATTATATTCTTTTTATTTGAATTGGCTAATAGGTAGCAACTTGCTTTAATTAAATATAAATTACAATTTAAAAAAAAATAGTTTCCTTTTATATAGTTGTGTATTTTATTTATTTCTAAAATTTTTAACATCAACCTAGTATAATATATAACATTATCCATATAGAATAATTTGTAATAACTTAAAAATAAGAAATGTAAATTCTCTAAAAATAATACAAATAATGTTTTATCATTTAACAGTGGAATTTTCTTCCATTTCTTTCTAATTTTTTTAATAAAAATAAATTTATAACTATTTTTTAATTGTTTTTTATATGTAATTAATTGTAAATATTTTAAATAATTTTTTTTCTTATCAATTATCTTATTTCCATAAAAATATTTTCTCAAGATTTTCATTAAAACAGCATTTAAAATAAACGAATAAAAGAGACAATTTTTAAAATCGTTTTTTTTATTATAAAAATATACTAAATTAAATAAACTCGTTACGTTTAAAGGATTATAGGATAAAGAATTTTTAATTGAATGTAAAAAATTATTTGTTTCAATAGTTCTATAATTTAATTTGTTTATGTTTTTAATAAAAACACAACTAACTTTTTGATACAGTATAGATTTTATATATTTATTTCTATTTAATTTCTCTAAGTTAAAATAATCATTTGATGTTTTATTCTTAATATTTAAATAATTATTTATGTTCCATTTTCCTACTAACAAATCTTTTTTTCTCTTTTTTATTCTACCATGAAAAATCATATTCTCTATTGTAATTGTTATTTTGTTATTAGTACTCATTTTATTTTATAATATTCTTTTATAAAATTAAAAAAAAATTAAAATTTTATAAAAAGAAAATTAAAGAGAATTAAAATAATTTGTCCATATAAAATATTATCAACATAAATTTAAATTATATTATCATTTTTAATTAATAATTCTTATATGAACTTTATAGACATACTTATTTTAAATTTATAAAAACATTTAAAAACCAAAAAAAAAAAAAAAAAAAAAATTAAAATTATATGAGATAAAATAATTTAAATTTAACAATTTTCTACTATAAAAAAAAATTCCAAATTATACAAAAAAAAAAAAAAAATTTACATAAAATTTAAAACAAATCCTATTAAAACATTTTTTATTTTTAAACATATTTAATAAAATGAAATATAAATACATAATTCATAAAAATAATATTTAAAACATTACATTTTATATCAAAAAGAAAATGTATTAAATTCCTTTATTCCATTTAATGAAGTTCATATAATTTTTTTTTTTTTTTTTTTTTTTTTTTTAATAGGCTTAACTTTTTATATTTACATTTTAGATGTTGATTTCGAATGTATATATAAATATTACTATTTTTCAATTTTAAAAAAAAATATCTTTAAGTATTTACTTTATATAACTATTTTTTACTTTCTTTTTTTTTTTTTTTTTTTTGGATGTAAAAAATTATAAATAAAAATCCTAGATATTTATAGTTAATATTTGAAAGAAGCCAACAGATATATATTCACTTTTAATTTTAATATCATTCATATTTTTATGTACCTCTTTTATAATATTAGAGTAACTTTTATTATCTTTGATAGCGTATTTTTTTTTCAAAATATCTGCCATTGTAAAAATTACTAAGCATAAACGTAGCATGAAAACATCGTTCAATAAACTTAACATGTAATAATTGTTGTTATAATAACATTTCGTTTCTGATTTTTTTAGGATAAAATTTATGTCAAAAATATGAAATAATATTATTAAAAATGATTCATAAAGGAGTTTAAAAGATTTAATAAATAAAATATCATTTGATAATTTTTCCAAATGCTTTTTTTTTAATATAGTTAATTTATTATTATCAGAATAAAAAACAATTTCTTCATTTATAAGTAATTCATACAACTTTTTTAATAAAAATTTTAAAAGATATTTTTTCCTAGTTAAAATAATGTGATCTTTTAATAAAACATATGAACATATATAATGGATCGCTTGAGATATAAAATTTATTGACGTTAAGCAAAAATGTTGCAGAATGCAATTTTTAATCATTAAATTAAATAGACATTTATCAAAAAATTCAATCTTTATTAAATTATTCATAATGATTATAACATTTTTATTATTTGCACTTTTTTCATCTAATAATAATTTACATCTTTGTAATAATTTAGAGAAAAATAAATTAGAATCATTTTTTAATATTATATTAATTGCTTCATAAGAATAATTTTCTTTATTTAAACTCTCCATTAGAATACCAATTTCACCTATACTTAATTCATTAATGTGCGGATATATGTATTTTATTAGAATGTCTAATATATTTTTGAGATAAAAATCTTTTTTTTCATCTATTTTTATACAATTATTAAAAGAATGAAAAATTTTCCCACAACCATTTAAAAAATTGATTAGAAAAGATTTATTCTTGTATAAATCACTATTTATTAAAATTTTTTTCACTAAATAATTAACAAAATTATAATATGATTTCCAATATTGCTTATTTTCTTCATTTTTCATATTTACAGAAAGATTAGAAATAGATAATAATATACTTATGCAATTTTCTGTTGATAAATCATCTTTATAATTTTCAAATTGATAAATTAGTAATTTTATTAAATTTGTTGCGTTAAAACTTGTTATCTTAGAGAAAAGAAACACTACCAAACTTATAATATTCCCATTGATTTTTTCAATTTTTTTTTCAATTTTTTTTTCACTTTTATTTTTATTTAATTCTTTATTTATTATTTTTTTTATATTTTTATTATTTTCTCCATTGTCAAACTCTTCACTATTTACCTTTTCATGGATCTCTTTAGTTGTCTCTTCTTTTGTCTCATTTTGCATTTCAATTAAATAATTCTTTATGTCTTTGTTTAAAATGGAAAAATTAAATTTTTTTTCATTTTGGTCATTTTTAAAATCATAACTTAATTTGTCTTTTCTATGGAATAGGTAGAGTAAGTTATTTTTTTTTCCATAAAAATTTATCATGAATTTTTCAAAATTTATAAAAAATAAATCTGCAATTTCTAATTTTTGCTCATATTTTACTTTAGAAAAAGCTGATAATGTTATACAAAAATTTTTTATTGAATTAAATTCTTTAATTTCTAATATTTTGTTTATGCATGATTTTTCAAATACAATATCTTTGATATTCATATTTTTAAACGCTTTAAACAAATAAGAAAATGTTTTTTCATCGAAAGTTGAAAAAATTCTTAAACTTCTTAATTTTATATAATTAAACAAAATAATATCATGTATTCCATAAATAGAATAACAATAAAAAATTAAGGATAACTCAACATTATTGTAAGAGTGTATAAATTTCTTTATATTTAGAGTTATCTTTTCAAATAACTCATTTACATCAATAATTTGTAAAAAATTAAAATTTGGATTGTCTTTATTTTGCACCACCCCTTTATACATACTTAAAGTAGAACACAATAAAATAATATCTTTCATTTTACATTTGTTTAATTTTATATATATTTCCTTTATTATATAAGCACTTATTTCACATATTTTTTTTATATTAATATCAAGTAAAACGTTATATTTTTCTCTTTTGGAAACATATAAAAAAGAAATATTTAATAGTCTTATTAAGTGATGAAGAGAGCAAAAATGAAGTTGCTTATTTATATGATCCAACATTTGAATCAAAAAAAAATCTTTTAATAAATTAGTACTACTATAAGCACTCAAAATATTTACTATTTGTATAACACCAAAATCTTTTTTATGTTTTATTATATGACATTCAAATAAAGAAAATAAATTATAATATTTTTTATATTTTAATTTTGAAATATTATATAATAAAAGACTTAAACCTAGCAAACTGTATTCTTCCACTTTTCTGCTGCATATTTTTTCTAATAAGAAATTGAAAAATTCATCATCACGAATATGCAATTTTATTAAACTATTTATCAAAAGACAGATATAATGTGGTGAATGTTTTTCAAAATAAGAGTTATTTTCACTAATTATTTTCTTTTTTGCTTCATCTAAGAAGTATGTATTTCTAAAATTCATTTTACCTAACGAATTAATTAAAGAACATATATGAATTAAATCAAATTCTTCTAAACGAAAAATACAACGATTTAATATTTCGCTAATAATTCTGTCATTTTTATAATCAGTATATGATAAAAAGGAAAATAAATTAGTAATAATTTTAGGATGAATATTTTTTTCATTTATTCTATACATAGTTTCTCTACAATAACTATTCCATAAGCTTAAATCATTTTTACTATCTTTAAAACTTTTTTTAATCAATTCAAAAAATTCATCATTATTATCAGGAAAATTTTGGCAAGAATTAGAATTTTTATTTTTTTCAATATTTTTTGCAATAATTGGTGTATTTTTATATTTTAAAATTATATTAGGTGAACTATACTCAAAGTTATTTGAGCAAAATTCCTTTTTTAATAAATTTCTCTTTGACTGATTCCATACATTAGATAATTTCACTACAATGGAATTATACATTATTTTTTTCTCTTTTCAAATTAGCCATTTATTTCATTTTATTTTTTTTTTTTTTTTACTTTTAATCGTTTCTTAAATTTTTTTTTTATTCTCTTATATAAAGTAAATATTTCTACATAGGTAATTATAAGAACAAATATGTAATATCTACTTAAACATAAATTTTAATTTTTCTCTAATATAAATATAAAAATAAAATACATACATAAAATATTATAATTTATATATACAGAAAAGAAAAACTTTCATTTAATATTACGTTTTAATTTTTATATATTCATTTTTTTTTAAATTTCTGCTATAATATAATAATTTGATAAAAATTAAATTCACTTTAAAAAAAAAAAATAATAAAAAGAATAAGAAATAAGTTTAAATATTTTTCTTTCTCTTTTAATTATATTCATTAATAATGAAAAAGGATAAAATAACATTTTTTTTTTTCATCTATATATATATGATAAAAAAATGACGTTAAAATAATTTAAATAATTTTTCTTTTTTTTTTTTGGTAATATATTCAGAATAGTATACCATAACATGTTATTTTTTAAAATGTATTTGTGATTTCTTCCAATTTAGTTGAATATTTTTTTAATTAAAATTAACAAAAAAGAAAATAAAAAATTTTCCATATATTCTTTAATTTTTATACATTAAAAAAAAAAGAGTTAAAAGAAAATATTTTTGTCCAATTGTATGATCAAATAATCATAAGAAAAAAAAAGAAAATTTATGTTATTAAACATATAACATCGAATTGAACTAATAATATAATCTATGAAATAAATTTATTATTTAAAAAAGAAAAATATATTAAAATTTAAATATAATTTATAAATAAATATATATATATATAAATATATTTTATGGAATTTTTACATGAATAAATAATAATTTTTTTTTTTTTTTATGAATTGCAAATTAATGTTGTCCAGATGTGTGTGTGCTTTAATAAAAGTGTCAAAAAAAAA